GCCGAAGATCGACAAACGTTCACATGTGCCCATTGTGCGCGGAACTGCGTAAGGCACTGTGGATGCAAGCAATGTACAGAAATACAAAGCGATGGCACACATGACTGACAACGAGGTACTACTACAGATGTATATACATTGACCGTATCTCCATACGGTTGTGCAATTGTAAACGTGTTCTTTGGAAACAGACACGTTGAAATAAAATTAGCTACTGAATATATGGCCGTGCCAAATTTTGGCCATTTTTTAAGAATTAAAATAAATCCAATAAAATAGGTAAAAAGACTGTTTAAATCCTAAAAGGCTACGGAGAAAGTAATTTTATGAACTCTTTAACCCCGAGCAATCGCAGGAAAACTCGCCTGTAGTGCAGCACGGAGCGGATATTACTATTTTTGCAGATGAAATCACACGAGTTATGAAGAGCTTGAAAAGTGGAAAGGCTGATACAATGGATGAAATCTTCCCTAAAGCGCTCAAAGCAATAGACGAACAAGGCATATGTTTGCTTATACGAATCTGCCAAACTGCAAGAGCTACGGGGAAGACAAAAACGGGTTGCAGCACCCTTATTCAAAAACAGAAATCACAGGGTGTGCTCCAATTATTGGAGCGTTACTTTAATGAGCCTTCCGTGTACAGTCTACTCAAAGGTGTTAGGAAGGAGAAACGCCGGAATAATTGATCCCAAAGTACTACTCTGATAGAGCCTTCAAAACCTATTGTTGGCGTTCATTCACCATACCGTTAGAGATTAAGTACGAAATGCTTAAAATCGCGAAGTACATGAGAATGTAGAAATAAATTAGGTACCAAAGATGCAAAAATCTAAAAAAGTGAATTATTAAATTGGGTAGCAGGCAATCTGTAAATACTTTAGAGAACGCTTTTGCATGAAGAGTTGAAAGTGTCCTCATGGCCTGTACTCATATTAATAACCAGCAAACGCACCATCGCTATCTAGGACGATGACTTCGTTGTTGCTGACTGGGTGATGGCATTTACAATTGCATGCTTCTTCAGACGGGTCGATGTTTTTCTTTGTTGCATGGGGTAATAAAGGCGATGAACTTCTGCACATAATTGCTATACGTTTCTGAACATTTTCTCAGCTGTCTTGTTCGTAATAAGCGGTATTATTTACAGGACAAACTGTGGGTATCCCCGGCGAAAGCTTTCGTATTCGCATGACAAAATACAACATAACGTTGTGTCTTCTCTACGCTACTAGATATAAGGATATAGTGCTCTTACTCGGTGTAAATTCTGAGAAGTGACAGGAGATTGTTGTAAAATCTAAAGCACGTGCTGCGAATACCTCCAGAAAGGAAGGTGGAACAATCACTACTACCATCTACTACCCATCCGACCGGCAGCAGGCCCAGGGAACGGCCAAGATTTACCTGGTGCAAACATATGGAAGGAGTCTGCTCCAGACTCCTGTTGTCTTCTGCCGAAGCTCAGACTCTGGCACAGGATAGGGAACGTTGGAAGCTCTGCCTGACACGTCTGCCTCCGCGACCCGAAAGGAGAAGCGGCCATGGAAGATTAAGATATAAAGCATTTGAGACAACGAGAGAGAAAGGGAAGTAGAAACTAGGCTAATTAAACAGTGAGCTACTGCCGCTGTTATCCAATAGTTTTCCAACAAACAGAAGCTACTAAATGAACACAAGACGAATGAAATATGCAAAGGATTTTCCCTGAATGTTCATAAACAGCTACAGCTTTGTAAGAAATGTTCAGGAAGAAACGAGACAACTTCGTTCATACAAAACGAAAGTATTTAATTGGCAAACTGCAGACACAATAGGTAAGAGCTTACGTATTCTCAGGACCAAGCACGGAACATCATGCAATATTATAAAAATTTCGGCAATAAATTTGCTAGGGTAACAAAATTTTATAATTCTAGCACTGGAAGTTACATGCAAGAACAAGCGAAAGCATTGAGTGGGGATTCCTTTAACGGGGCTTTATTTGTACAGAAAATATTTTTTTACCTGCGAATTCGTTACCTCAGAATTTTACTGTATCTACCGTTTTCGATCAAAATTCCTACTGTAGTATCAGAAAACAGCTTCGCTGAGATTCAAATCCCGTAAACAAGGACAAGTTAGAACAAAGGTGCCGATCTGCAGGTACCAATTCCAGGCTGAAATGACAATAAGAAACCTTGAGTTAACGTTCAATTCAACGACGAATTCATGGTTATTTGGTATTTTTCAGGCAGCAAACAGAAAACTATGTAATGATTTCCGTAACGACCTTTAATTAGAAGTATTTATAGTGTCTTAGCGGTGCACGAGTGCGCATTCGTCGATTTCATTAGACGAGATATTCAAACAGTTCCACTGACATAAAATGTGAACGAGATGGAATGCTGTGGCTTTTCGACGACTGTAGGGTTATTGACGGATGAACTACTATAGGCTAGGCAAAGTACAAAGCAAATTACTGCTGCTAAATTAGTTTCTTTCTAACAGACACTACTAATCGAGAGTAAAACGGAAGAAATTTTCGATGGCCTCGTCTTGAATGCTCATAGACATCTACTACAGCATCGC